TGCTTAGACTACACTGTTTATTTCTCGCGCTTGTTTTCAGAATCTGAATCTGAGTGCACTCTGGCCGCACCCTAAGGCTGTATGAACTAAAGTTAAAAAAAACAGCTAAATAAGATTTAACAGCCTGTCAGCTCATTTTCGTTTGATTGTCCTTTCTGAAACTGTATTTATTCAATAAAATAATTTTCTGTAACTAAATATGTAACGTTTTAATTTACGTTGCTCGTAAAAGAATTTGGGTAATAAGTAGGTACTTAAAAAAATGTATATTTAGTGGATTTTAGGGGAATTTGAAAAATACTTAGGGGATAATTTTGGTAAGGGTTGGTAACACTGACTGGCCACGCACCCACCGGTGATTGTCCGTTGCCGGACCCATCGCGATGTGCGGTTCCCCGGAGTATTAGGGGCACTACCCATCACAGGAACCGTCCAATGCAGGCTGGCGCTCGGTACCCACCAGGCGGCTGTAAAGTTATGCTCAGCTCAGACCCTTACTGACTAAAACACCCATACAGGCTAGGCGTCCTAGACATGAGAGATTTCAAAGCCTTAATTAACAGCAGTCGTTTGTCCGACCGTCTGTCGCGCGAGTCTGCCAGTTAATTATATAATTTTAGCAGGGCGTGATTTTTAATGAATGCCGTCATATTTCCAATAATAAAATTATCTAATCTCATTATTCAAAATAGAAATTACTGTCGTATTGCATCTACCCATAGAATTTATTTTCTTTGTTCATGGGTGTGTCGTGTTTGTTACTGCCTACAGTTCCACATAGTGATAATTACGTTATAATATGTTATCAGACAGTAAATAGGTACCTATTTCTTGATAACCTCACCCCCAACGAACACTAAGTAATAAACTGATGGAAATAATCCATTGCTAATCAGCAAATAGTAACATACAAACAAAGATTTAATACGAGTTACATCATGTTGACAAAAGAAATTTATAAGTAGGTAGACGTACCTACTTAGTTAACTATACCAACTACGCAGCCTTTTTATATTTTTTTGCCTTCTAAATAATAGCAGTCATGCGGTGGGACCATGATAAAAATAAATAACACATAGACCCACTGATGGACACTCTTTAGAGCAGTGGGGCAACGGGTACAAAAATACCCGTGGATCCACCAGGAGGACATGTTAGTGGGACCAGGGGTAATAGCTGATCTTTAAGATCTATTTATTTAGGTAGTACTAAAAATAAAAAAGAAGAAATGAAAAAAAAGTAAAAAATCCTTACTTGATTGTATTCTGAGTGAAAGCGTACGCAGGAATTATATTTTAAAGCACATATTTTCCCAAAATTACTAAATATTATTATGTGAGTCTCAGCACCGCCGCGCCCGCCGGCTGCCCCCTTGGTCCTTGCGCCCTTGGCTCAAGCCTTATTAGCCGGTGGGTAAATCAGGCCCTGATTCTTCACGTTCTTTACACAGATTTATCTATGCACATTATGGTGAAAAACAATGGCAAGGTTGTCATTTTTGAATAAAGATAAATTCCCTTATCATGCTTCAGGTAAGTACTTCCTTTGTCTAAAAAAATACCACTTAAGACCATTATATTTGTTGACAAGTTAGTGTAAGGAAATCAACATGAAATAAATTAGCACAACAATATCAAACTAAAAACTTATCATTATCCACTTAAGTAAGGTGTGTTTATAATATTTTATTGTTCTACAGGTGCTTACCTGTACTTTTTATGACGTAATCACGTGGTCTTAAATATATCCGTTTAATTAACGGAAGAGTTGATACTTGATAATGAATAACTAGGTATTAATGATTTTAGGATTCGTAGAAAAATGGCTTTCTCATTCAATAAATCAGTAGTAGACACCTAATCTAAATTAATAAGTCATAGAAGCGGTTTATATAGAACCTCAGAGGTAATTTTGTTGAAAATCTGGGAAAATGTTTAAAGTTCCGCTTTGTCAGGCAGGACTGTATCCGTTACTTTTTCAGGTTTGGGACAAGATTAGCTAGATATTCGCTTCACAGTGAAATTAACACGTTATACCCAATAACTACTAGCCTTTCCTTTCCACGATGATATGAATGACATCAAAATTGAAGTCGCTTTGGTTTTAGTAAAATGTAAAAACATTACTAACTCTGTACTTAATAATTCTAACTTCTTTCGTATAAGTAAGTACCTACTACTATGATTTTGGTTTCTTAAATATCATCATCATCATGATCAACTTCCTTGTGTCCATTTCTGAACATAGTGCTCTCCCATTTTCTCTACAGACCCCATCATCCAGTTAAGACCTGCTAAAAAACGTTCCTCGTGGTCTTTTATTCCTCCGTTCTAAATTCCTTCTTGCCTATCGTCTTTCCTCCATTAGAGTTATGTAATTCGCCCAACTCCACTTCCGTTCCCCAATTACTTTGTCCTCATCTTTTACACTCGTTTTCCGCCTAATCAATTCATTTTTCTGCTTGCCGTATAAAATTATTCTGTGGATAGCTCGTTCTATCGTCCCTTTGCGACTCTAAATTTCAGAGAGAAAATAACCACTACTTTTAACTAAATCAATCGGATTGCTAGATCGACTAGAAACCACATGTAATTAACAAAAGACTCAGAAGATATCCACCTAACGTGTTAAAATTACAGCTATTTCTACTTATTTCATGGTATTAAGAGCAATGTGGTAGATACCTGGGCATTGTTTTACCATATCTCTCACAATTACGATCTTTACAGAATGAAATTTATATTAGGTCTCCTGAGGAAAGTCGTTTCTTAAAGAAGTACCTAGCCTCGCAGGACTAAAAAAATTGTAGGTAGATAAGTACAACTCGGTTAAGTAAATAATTCATTTGAACACTAATCAGGATACACACCAATAAAACGAAAGTCGGCTTTAATTAAAATATAATGCCTTTTTAGCATAAATCATTTACATGAAATTATTCCTAACCTTTGACTTTGTTTACCGTGTGAAATTGGGACTACCTATTTAATATAAATTATGCGGGTAAGTAATTTCATTACGACAACCATAAAAAATCAATGACGACAATGACATTTTTTAACCATCCACTGGGCTGAAAATTTAAGACAGGGAAAGAGTCTAGGTTTTATGTTTACATAGATTCAGTCAAGTATTTATTTTAATCATAGTTAAGTATATTCAAAAAACTAAAACAAATCAGACCTAGTTTTAGTATATTTAAATCTTTGTTACAATATGTATGTTTGTAACTTACAGTACCTACAGTTGACAAGATGGTAGTTACCATCCCTAACCCGTTTCTCCCCTTTTTGTTTAAATCTAAGATTTAGTGAACAACTTAATATTTTGTGAATATTTCAAGCGTTTACGTGTTGTCGTTATTAATATAGATTAAGAATGAATTAAATCCTCCAATGTATTACACTTCCAGACACATCTATAGGCCCTCCTATAGTCGCGGCCCGCTATGATGGCCATTTTGACACACTGCAATAGTGACGGAGAAAAGTAAATTTAATATCGAAAAAATCTAACACAATCCAATGGAAGTCCCAGTTGGGTATTAGGTTATTGTAATTTTAACTAATATTGATTGACTGATTAAAAAGATTGAAAAAAACGAACATGTAAAGCCTCGATGACACGGGGTGAGTTACAAGCTACAAGCCAGCGAGTTCGCTAGCAGCTTGTACACTCTCCCCGTGTCATCGGCTTTTAACTTTACGCTCAGCGGTCCTATAAGCAGTGATCGTATTGACAATATTTACATTTCTAATATCGAAAAAACTAATGCTGAGTCAGAGTTATGCAGTGAATAAGGACATTAAAATTTCAAAGAATAAGGACAAATTGTTCTTAATGATAATTATAATAATACAGTTAAATAATTAATTTTACTAAATCCTTTAATATTCTGTCAAATAGCTGGGTTTGTGTGTTGAAAATTACATAATGTATTTTATTGTTTGAATGTGACGAGTTCCTAACCATATCTTCTACAGTTAGACCCTAATTTAATATGAATTGTAAAATTGTAATTCTACACCCCCAAATTACCGATTCGATATTTTTTATGACAAACTGCTAATGCGTCTCTAATGATAATGAAGAACAATAATTACTTGTTTCAAGTTTAGAACTAATTTTGAATTGGAATATGAAATTTCATGGACGCACAATCGTCTAAACGGCCATCATAACGTGCCACTACTATAGTGTTATAAGTTTCAACAGTCTGTAGCAAAAATATAGATAAGTTAGGATGGGCACTAATATTTTATTTTGAAACACACGAAAAAGATGGTTAGTCAATCAGCTTCAATAACTTTTTACTCAATGTCAGATTTATTGGCCCTCAAAACAATTTAGGCCAAAACTTAAAATGCTAGATGGGCCGATAGATATGTCTGGGAGTATATTTTGTAAATAATGCTACTAAGCGCTGATGAATATTTATTATTTCTCAATAAAATATATTCTACCTATGTCACTTACATTTGACGTAGCGTTCTACTCACTCATAATACCAAACAGTGAAAGAATTTTCAAAATCAATATTTCTTTTATCTGTAGTGTATAAGTAGAAGGTCTAGACATATTACTTATCAACAAACAAGCCTACAAACGTTAAAGTATGAAGTTGGTACATAGGACTTTGTGATAGAATAAAATTACAATCAGATAAGTTTTTAAATTTAAGCGCGCAACTATTTTCTGGCTTCAGCCAATGCAAAAAAAGAACTGTTAGCAACAGCCAATCAGAGAGCTGCTATATGGTGTGACTTTGGTGGGACGCTCCCAGTGACCGTTCAAAATGTATTATAAATATTTTTTTTGTAAATGAAACGTGGATTAAATACATACCTAAAGGATAGAATATGAATAAATTTGTAATTAGTAATTAGCGTCAATCAATACAAACATAAAAAAATATAGATAACACCAGAACAGTAAAATTATCAGTTTATTTCCCCGCATCACACGATCGAGTCATATAAATACTGGGGCAACCCCCACCTCTTGCCAAACGTCAAATCGTTTCGCTGCGTACGGTCGTTGATGTTCGCGTCGCCAGTTCGTGTTATTTCGTAAGCCAGTGCAGCTATCTTACGGTTAAAATTAAAGTGACAGTAAAATAGGGCGTTGTGTGTTCAGTGATATTTATACAAATAAATAACACAAGAAAATGTCTTCTTTCAACACCGACATATCATCTAAATTGGAGAACAGCAGGTACGGAAATAGATTTCTAACGTGTATTACACAGCTATCGGACTGACCTCTTCACAGGCTTTCTTGGATCGTAGGAGACTTTAGTGATGATTTCTTGAAATAATCTAAACATGCAAAAAAAGTGCAACGTCAATTCGAAGAAACATGTGATTCTTTTAGTGTTCAAAATGTCTGACTGAATTCCTTTCACATTTTGTGGCCGATCATATATTTATAAATGTACCTACTGACTACTGGTTACAACATCATCAATTTAATCTAGATTTTAGACAAAGATAACAACATAATTGTACGAAATTGAGACTGTAGCATCACGCCATGAGGTTAACCAGGCCTCATATCCCATTGAGTTTGCGCGGACATTTTAGTTGTGAGTCATTGGAGAAAAAACCCAGGGTTTTTATTAAAACTGACTAAGCCGGACAGGATTTTCTTCAGTTTTCATGTCTTAAACGGCAGTTTTGCTAATGCCATTGATTATGTGTTGTTTCATAAATTACTCATGTGACTTCATCATTTTTGTATAATGAGTCACTGATTCCATGATGGGTTACCTCACATCATGTTGCACCGTTTTGCTAATTTAGGTAGCTTACTTGCATACATAAAAGTAAAAGTAAAATTAATCTTATTTGCTATAGAGGGTAGGTGTAATTATGTAAACTTGACACAAATGCAAATAGGTTCCTGTGAAATATTGTTGGATAATTTAAATTATGATTGGTTTGTTTTGTTATATGTAGGTACTAAAAGTATTGTGAAGTGGCATTTAACATGAAAAATTATCCATTAAATTATTAAAGTAATAACATTACATTGCTATGAAGTTTGATTTTAATTAGAACTGTTGTGTACCAATATTTTTGTGTTAATAAAATATCCTCAAATTTCTTATAATTATTAATAGGTAGGTAATTCTTTAATTTATGGATATACCTTTTTTCCAATGTATGTAGTAGTATATATATATTGCATTGTAATTTTATTTTTGCAGTTGCTTGTATTAAAAAGCAAATTTAATGTAATATAATCAACAGTTATCATTTATAACAAATAATGACTAACTCTAAATTTAATATCACTCACAGTACTATTTAATTGAAGTACTAATTTTTTGTAATGGAAATGAATGTTATATTGGTTTTTAACATGTTTATTTAAGAATGTAATAGGTCATTTTAGTACTTTCTTTACTTAATGAGAGTAAATTGAGAACTTGGTATATATCATACTAAAGTTAATATTACTTCTATGTTTCTCCTCGGCTATAGAAATACATTAAAGAGAAGTCTTTGTTTTCATTTCAAATTTATACTTATGAATGTTTCATTCTTGTTACAGGAACACCCTGCGCAAAATTGCCCGTAATGACAATACAGAGTTCTCAAAGCAGAGCATCCTTAACGACATGGAGAAGTTTGTGAAAATGGTCAACACTATGGATGAGACCGTACTAGTTCCCAGCCGCCTGATGAACCTGCCACAGGAGGGAGACGATGATCCGTTCAGCATGTTCGCTATGCTGAATGATTTGAAGACTGAGTTACTATGGGCCGGTGATTCTGGTGAACCTGAAGAGCGTATCGGAGAGCGTGGTAGGCGAGTGTCTGATTTGAGTGATACCGAGAGTGACGCATCGAGTGCAGCTGGCGATTCTGGGATTGAAGGAGAGGATGAGCGGGAGTCTGCAGTACGGGCGGCCGCTGCCTGCAGACGCCATCTTAGGGGGCTCCGCCATTCCCTCCGCACTCTAACAGCCGCCGCTGACCATCTCACCAGATCATATCAGGAAGAAGTCGGCGCTCCAATCTAGGAAACACCCCACCCTCACCCTGTGATCAAAGCCTGCCCCGCACGCGGTGTACATATAGAATAAGCGGCCCGCTCTGTACATATAGGTTATTAGGGCTGAACGTGTATGGGAATCTCAGTAAGTTAACGAGGTTATTATTTAATAAACTTAATTTTCAACATTTCAGTTTTTTCTGTTACACACCTATCTTAAATTCTTGATTAGGTAGGTAGTTAAAAATAAAGAAATAATGTGTGCTGTATGACTAAAGCAATATACAGTACTACTACATTGCATTTTAATAGTAGGTAAATAATAGAATGGAATATGAACTCGGGACATATAAATCTAAGAGGCTTATAAATGTTATGTAATAAAATGTTAAGAGCCTACATAAACAGTTTGATTGACCTACATGGTAATATTCCTCCATAATTATTTTTGTATAATAAGAAAAAATAGCATTTATTCAGACAAAGCACTTTGTTTAAAATAATAATAATAATAATAATAATAATAATAACTTTATTTGGAACAAGTGCAATGTACATAAAATTATGAATCGTTAAAACTGCTTTAGTTTTACAAAAACTGTGTTGCAGAATTAACGCCCATTCCCGTATAATATGAAACAGTGTTCCTATCAATGTATAAAATTAATTAAAACAATCTGTATAGAGAGAAAATTAAAATGAGACAAAAATATCCACAATTTAAAATCCATCGAAGGTAATTTCAAAACAAAAAATATGTCCGAGTGCATTTTTATCAATATTATTACAAACCAATACTAAATTTTACCAAAAAATGAAAATAAGGACTAAAATATAACATTTGAATTTTTATGCTCACATTAGAAGGTAGGTAAACACAGATAATACAAATCTATTAAAATTACAATATTAAACCTACCTGGACACTACAAACCAATAAATCATGATATAGAATAGTTAAATTCAATATAAGACACAATTTCGCACACATCGTACCAACATCACTGCAAAAAAGTTAATTCAAAGCATACGAACATCATTATTTTGTTTATTAAATAGTAAAAACGTCCAGCAGTACCATACGCTGGCCATCAACTGAACTAACAATTCATTTCGAGCGACTGATGAGCGCGACCAGGATCAGTGGTAGGAAAAGGGGCGGAGCAAGTCAGCAGGCGTGAATCGTTGTAGAAGAAACAAATTGATCTACATAGGGCGCGACTCCAGTTCATGAGCGACACAAATGCTGTAACATGAGCGATAAACTCCATTATGAACTCCTTTGATAAGTAGAATTATCGTGTTTAAATCTGAATTTAAGTTGTTTTTTCATTTATTTTTATAACCTGACAATAGAAAGAATTTATACCTATACTATCCACTAATTCAATTTTTTTTTTAATGTCATTATTGTAAATTAAAGCTATTTTTTTGATATATTTAAAGATTATATTTATTAATGAGTAAATGAGATTTTGGAATGTTCATTTTTATAAATAGTTAAATCAAATTGAAATTATTTTATTTTAAGATGATTATCACATTAACGAGGTAAAGTCTTTTTCACATTCAAATTAGTTTTAACAATATATACTTTTTTTTTGGAATAGGTATTGTTTACTTGACAACCAACAGCACGCAAAGCTGCTTTAGCAGTATTTCGACGTTTAACAGTCTTATAATTAATTATTTATAAGTACCTCTGTTTCTGTATATGAAAGCCCCTTCAGCCAAACAGTGATCCGCAGTTTACATTCCTTAAAAGTAAGTGGATAAATATTTAATATTTTATTTACTTTATTGTATAAACGGGGAGAGAGGTAGTGAAAATGACGTTTTGCGAGCTCCAACCTAACATATTTATTTCTACAGACTATATCCGATCTACGTTTGTTATGGAAATGGTCGGGGTTGAATGGAAGTTGGGAATGTTTGCGAAGTAAGACCAGCATGATGAATAACTGACGCACAGTTAGTACACCAGTGTCCTCATATAATTGAGAAGTTGGATATAGAATAGGCTTGAAGGTCATAACTTTTAACCCTTAATAACCTAGAGTTTCAATTTTGATACTAATATTTTAAACCGAATATTCACATTACTATTAGTTTTTTTTTATATGTTGGCTGTATGTATTTTACTGTTGTATAGTATTCTATCCAACGAAATTAAAAAAAAAAACAAATGTTATTATTGTTTTATTTTATCTGTGACATATTACTTGCGCGGCAAAGTGAACAAGTAAACACATTTTACTAAAAGTTTTGTTGAATATAAATTTGATATATTTTCTTTTTCTGAAGAATATAAATACTTTTGAGGTAAGTGAATACATTATTTTCGCTATGATATAATTATTTTTAGCAAATGCATGTTTTACTTGAAGAAATTAGTGCTTTTTTTTTGGTATCAATATTGATACTTCAGGCATTCCGCCCTACATAAAACCTACCTACTAACTCTTTAGCTATAAAACTTTTTGAACTTTCGTTTCATATTTTTTCTGCATAGCTTGGTGTGGGGATTACTTTTGTTTTTATTTATTATAGAAATTTATCCAAAATGCGGCCAGAAGAGATTGAGAACATGTTGAAGCGGTTAGAAAATGGTGAAATTTCGGAAGACGATTCCACCGACAATGAAGATGACATAGACTATTATTCGAGCCAAAGAGATCGTCTGATGGAGCTAGATGATGAAGAGGATGTAGGTAATTTTCCCACTGACCCAAACTTGGATGCAGATCCGCCTGCAGCAAACGTAGATACCGACATGCAACATAATTTAGAGACTGTTGAACGAAACCCAACTCCTACAACCAGCAGCCAGAACAACCTGCAAACTGCACCTTTCAACTCTAGAAACTTAGTGTGGAGAGTAAAAAATATGGATTTAGTCCAAAATGCTTTCCAGTTTGCTGGAAATACTGAGTATTCACAAGAAATTATGAACTTAGACACTCCATTTCAGTTTTTTTCTTATTTTTTCGGTGAAGACATTTTGAGATTTCTAGTGGACGAGTCAAATAAATATGCCTTCCAAAAGAATCCCAACTTTACAGAACCTGTAACTGTCTTAGAATTACGTAAATTTATTGGAATTCTTATTTTTACTAGTGTATATCATTATCCTAGTGTCCGGTCATACTGGTCAAACATTACAAAGTTTGAACCCATAGTACAAACAATGAATCGCAACAGATTTGATAAAATTAGAGAAATTTTTCACATGAATGACGACTCTAAACATTTGCCCATTGATCACCCCCAGCACGACCGACTGCATAAAGTAAGACCAGTGATAGACTATTTGAACAAGAAATTTATTACTTTACCATTTGAGCATCGTCTATCACTAGACGAGCAGATGTGTTCCACAAAAATGAAACATTTTATGAAACAATATTTACCCAACAAGCCCCATAAGTGGGGATTCAAATTATACGTGTTATGCTCTCTGTCTGGTTATGCCTACAGTTTTGAGATTTACTCGGGAGCTAAGGACATGGACCGTTTACCTGGCGAACCAGACCTCGGAGCTGTGTCGAATACAGTTATTCGATTGCTACGACCAGTACCAAGGCATGTCAATCATATAATTTATTTTGACAATTTTTATACGAATATTCCTCTGGTACATTACTTGACCAACGAAGGTATTTATTGTCTTGGAACAGTACAGAGAAACAGGCTTGGAAAGTCGTGCAAGTTGCCGGAGAAACGGGAGATTATGAAATCTAACGTACCCAGAGGAACATATCACGAAAATGTGGCCTCTCACGAAGGCCTAGAATTGTCGGCCACAAGTTGGAAAGACAACAAACAGGTATTATTACTATCCACGTATGTTGGCGCTGAACCAGCGGATACTATAACCCGCTACGAAAAAAAACTAAAGGCCAATATTCAAATATCATGTCCTCGGGTTGTAAAAGAATATAATGCACACATGGGCGGCGTTGATTTGATGGATAGCTTCATTGGTCGATATCGCATCCGCATAAAGTCGAGAAAGTGGACAACGAGGCTCTTCTACCACTTGTTAGACATGACTGTCATCAATGCTTGGGTACTGTACAAAAAGGTAAACACAAGGAAAGGAAAACTTCAGAAGAATATTATGAAGTTAGCAGATTTTAGAACTGAGCTTGCCGATACTTTATGTAGATATCAAAGTCACTCAAAAAATAAAAGAGGCAGACCCAGTACCAACAGTCAACAAGACAATACAGTACCCTCTAAAAAACCCCGGACAGGTGCACAAGTACTACCCCCAACTGACGTGCGTTCCGATTGTATTGGCCATGAAAAAATATTTATGGAGTCTAGGAATAAATGTAAATTTAGTAATTGTAGGAAACTTACCTCCTGGTTCTGTAAAAAATGCAAAGTATCTTTATGCGATAATAAAAACAATCGATGTTTCGCATTATTTCATGCATAGGTCATTTAAGATTTCTTTATGGCCATAATGCCTGAAGTATCAAAATTGATACCTGTTTTTTTTTTAAATAAATATGTAAAATAAATATTGTGATTTATTTAGCTATTTTTCCCTTCATCTAGACCCTCAAGCAAATACAGTAATATTTAAAAAAGAAGACTCGCGTAAATCAGGCTACTAAGGGTTAACACACCTCTTTGAGCTCTTTCAAGGCATAATAAAAGGGACTTATTGGCTCCCCCCCATACCGTAACACAGTATGATAATACGGACTGAGCGAGGGCCAAATATACAGATTTAAGAGTAGAAGCATCAAGTAAATTACGTAGGGTTTTAAAAATATACATGAGTTTCCTCGTACGGTTAGAAGTTACCTTAATATGCTCATCCCATGTGAGTGAGTAATCCAGCCAAACACCGAGGTACTTAAGTTTTAATTTACTCTGCAGTAGCATACATCCACAATTTGACATTCCGGGGCAGTTCTGATTATGAGCTTGGATAATAAAGTTAGGCGCAGGAAGAGATGAACATTTTGGTGCAAAAGCCATATAGTTTGTCTTGTCTAAGTTGAGAGTAAGAGAGTTGCAGATCAACCATGCATTAACAGCACCAAGAGCATATTCAGCATATTTTTTAGTCTCCAACCAGTCGCTACCGTGAGCCAGTAGAACTGTGTCATCTGCGTAGGTAATAATTTTGCAGTTTGGCAATGACATATTGCAGAGATCATTCATGTAAAC